AATTGCTCAGGATCGAACTCCTGGCAGTCGGCAGAGTTCGCCTGCAGGACTGGTAGAATCCCCAACTTACAACCCCAGTTCCTACCCCACTGCCTTTCCCCAGACCTTCTGGGCCTCCAGCCGGCTTTGCAACTCCCATTTCTCTCCCTGGATCTCCTTCAGTCGCTCTCTCATCATCTGGCGGTCATCTTCTGTATCAGCCACCGTGGTCTTCAGCTGCTCACATTCTTGATCCAAGCTGTCCAGCTGCTGCATCAGATTCTGCTGCTTGACCTGGAGTGACTGCAGGGAGAGAGAGAGATGGAAGGGGGATATTATGGGACTGAAATGCCAGTAAAATGCCAATCTTCAATCGGTCAGCTAAGTCTGACTGTGAAGCTTCAAGAAAACAAGGATTACAGTAGTGGCTAGAATTGTGGGAACCTTACGAGAAAAGTATATTTTTGACATTTGATGGCTAATAACACCACTTTTCTTTTGAGTAATACCATAAAATTATATGTCAATGGAAAGATAAATTAATCAAGAATGTAATGCAACAAAGTTTGTTCAATTGTCTGCATTCTATGAAAAGTTACAGCCGAATATAGACAGCGATAAAACCTAGTTACTAGAAGCAATCATTGGTTTCGCATTAGAACAGCTGCAGAACTAAAAGACTTGATTCACTCCATTGTAAGGGCGTTATTCATGTTAAAGTTTACTCAACTAACTGGCATGGTGATAATTTTTATATATCTTGTTTTTTCTATGGTGATAATGTCTGATTATCTTGTTTTTTCTATGGTGATATTTTTTGTGGTGTTGAAGTGGTGTTATTGGCCATCAAACCTCAAAAACACTGCACACTTTTCCCAAAAGGTTTCCACAATTTTGGCCACTACTGTATATTCCCACAATATTGGAAAAATGAAGAAACACCGCGAGATGAAGAGATAATGAAGAAGATTCTAGACTGTGCAGATAGCCTGAAGAAAAGAAAATGAGAAAGAAAGAAAATACAGAAAGAAAGACAGGAAGAAAATAAAAAAAGAATAAAAGAGAAAGAAAGAGAAAGGAAGAAAAGAAAAAAGGAAAGAAAGACAGAAAGGAAAGAAAAGAAAGAAGAAGGAAAGAAAAGAAAGACAAAGAGAAAAGGAAAGAAAAGAAAGACAGAAACACAGAAAAGAGAAAAAGGAAGAAACAGAAAGGAAGAAAAGAAAAAGAAAAAAGAGAAAGACGAAGGAAAGAAAGAAAAAGAAAGACAGACAGACAGACAGGAAGGAAGAAAAGAAAGAAAAAAAGGAAAGAAAGACAAGAAGGAAGAAAAGACAAAGACAAAGTCAGACAGAAAGAAAGGAAAGAAAGAAAAAGACAGGAAGGAAGGAAAGAAAAAGAAAAAATGAAAGAAAAACAAAAAGGAAAAGAAAGAAAAAAGAAAAGGAAAAAAAGAAAGGAAGAAAGAAAAAGAAAGAAAAGAAAAGAAAAAAGAAAGAAAATAGAAAAAGGAAAGAAAGAAAAAAAGAAAGGGAAAAAAGAAAGGAAGAAACAAAAAAGAAAGAAAAGGAAAGAAGAAAAGAGAAAGAAAAGGAAAGAAAAAAGAAAAAGAAAGAAAGGAAAAAAGAAAAAGGAAGGAAGAAAGAAAAAAAGAAAGAAAAATAAAGGAAGGAAGGGAAGAAAGAAAAAGAAAGAAAGCTTCAAGAGCGTTTCACAGAGTGAAGCCTGCCTTCATCCCCCTATTTTTCTTGGTGGGAAGACAGAAGGGGCTTCTCATTCTTTCTTCCATTTCCCAGTCCAACCTACAGTTTCCTTGGGGGGGGTGGGGGAGGAGAAGAAGGACACCCCTCCTCCCTGGTCAGCCCCTCTGTCCCACCGCCGCCCCCCCC